TTAGGCAGCAATCCTTGTTTCATGCACATTTCATTGAATACAACAGACAAGGTGCTTTGATTTAGTTTTTTTATATAATTTCTCATGTGATCTAATAATTTTTTTCTTTTCAGATGATAAATTATATAAAATCTGTCTGAATGTTCTTTTTATCCGAGCACTTTCGGCTACACATTTAGCCATTTTCAAGGATGAAATATTTTAACTGTTAAATAAGAAATCGTTTATTGCATGTATGTATTTATATAATGCTTTCATTTTTCAAAACACAGTCAAGATATTGTGTCTATGTTCATAGCTGATATTATTGAGCATTGGTTTTTGTTTTTTTATTAATAAGGATTCTATTATTTTTATAGGTTATATATATATATATATATATATATATATATATATATATATATATATATATATATATATGCATGTGTATGACATCCATTGGCCTCAATAACCCTTGCATCTATGCCCAAAGAGTTATGCCTCAGATGCTGATGGCAGTGCAACATCTGTTATGGTTGTACAGGCCCATGTGGGGGTGACAATCTTGATTGCAATGAATGCATGTGAAGATGCTCTCCCCCAATATCACCTTGGTATATTCTTACATGCTTCTCCCGGGAGGCATGCCTTCATTTCTCTTCTTGCTCCTGCTTTCTGTGTAAATCGCACAAGCACAAGCGATTGTTGATGATGTCTTCCCATCTCTTGATGTCCATCACTCTCATGTCCCTTTTGTAGACATCTCTGAAGCAAAGATAAGATTCTCATTTCTGCCCTCTTGCTGGTGGAGATTTCCTGTACAGAAGGACCATCAGAATCCTCACATCCATATATATATATATATATATATATATATATATATATATATATATATATATATATGAATATAATTTGATCCAATCATGCTACCTTGGTTTCAACTTTTTGGTATTTTTGTGACTCAAACGAATGCTTGTTTGACACTTTCATAATGCTTGTTGTAGCAGAGACCTCGTAATCACAGATACGATTATAGTTCGCAGTTGAACAATTCTGGTGTCAGATGCCTTTGAATAGCACTTGCACTATAGTACTTGCTCGATAATACTTTCTCGAACAGTAATTCATATAGTGATCTGAATAGAGAAATAGTATAGTGAATATTGTGTCATTATTTCTGACCTCTCATTCAAAATTATGTCTTCAAAAGTTGCATGATATGTGAATCTATTATGGTATCTTATAAATTTCAGTCATGTGTGAAATGAAAGCACATATTTGATTACCCTCTACTGAAAAACTCGACAAACTTTTGTACCAATCTAATTTTTATAATATAAATAAAAGTATGTCTTATCAAATTTAACAAGTCTTGCTTGGTTTATATTAGATTTGTTGTGAAAACAGTGTCTTGCATAATAAACTCTGACAAAGTGTATTTGGGGAACTTATGGTGCCAAATGGCTTTTGCAAAGAAAAAAATTCGAGAAACTGGGGTTCTTTATTTTCTAGTTGAATAATCTTGAGAGATTTGTGAAATGTTCACTGAGACATGGGACATGTAATTGGACAGATTAACAGATTACTCAATCAGTTCAAATTCACTGAATTTGGAGGCCTGGTTGGAAGCACCTCATATATATATATATATATATATATATATATATATATATATATATATATAGTGAGAGATATTATATACCAAGATGTGTGTATGTGTTTATGTATATACATATATATATATATATATATATATATATGGATCTGAGTTGGAATTAGTTTAAATCTAATTTCTATAATGATATAGTTAAAGTAAAAATGTATATGGCCATTAATGTGAATCCTCTTTTTTTTCTTGTAAAATAACATTCCTTTTCTGATAATTTGAGTTCATTGACAAAATATGTCAAAGTAAGAAAGTTTTCAAAAGAGTCATTTTATTTACCATATATATATATATATATATATATATATATATATATATATATATATATGTGTGTATGTATGTATGCATCTATGTATGTATGTATTTAAGATTTAAGTATATAATAGTTCAAAAGTAAAGCAAATATTTTCATATAGTGCTCAATATTAAAATAATATTAATATTAAAACAGAGCATGATAATGTGATAAAATTACTTAACTGTAAATATTAATTTTTGATGTTGTTTCTTGACTTCAAAGTTTCTTGGAATTGTCCATTCTTTAAGGAGTCTTTTTGATATTTACAGTTAAGTAACTTTATCATATTATATATATATATATATATATTATTCAAAATTTGCTGTATTTATATCGAAGAATGCACAACATCAGAGATAAAACTTTATAGATATAGACAATTTGGACAGAGTAATCAACATTGCTTAACTGTCACTTTTATGCTACAAGTAATCTTCAGATGATCACTATGCTGTGTTGATTTCTATGTCCATATCTATCTATCTCTATCTATCTATCTATCTATCTATCTATCTATCTATCTATGTCTAATCATTATCTATCTATATATCTATCTGATGCACAGTCAATTTTCATTATTAATATAAAATAACTGCAACGATGCTTGGGTGCTGATTTCTAGTGTGTTCTAGATTGAAACCTTTCATTGTTCAGTTGCAAGTCAGATTTTATTGAATGTTTTGTACATAAATGAATGCCTTAAAGATGAAGGATGAAAAGTTGTGTTTTGGAAAGAAGTAAATGTTGGAACTGTGACAAAACATATTCAGATTTTCTGTCTTGATCGTACTCCAGCTCTTTGGATGGTCAAAAAGTCTTATGGCAGATTTTGTTAAGGTGATTTTAGCCTAAAAATTAACCATGCTTTGGGTGACATTTAGATGTTGATGACAAGGTTCTGCTAGCCATTGGGGAAAATAAAATGAAGATTTTGATGGAGGAGATTGCTGAGTGTTTGAAAATCCATATCTCAAGTGCCATTCACAATTTGAAGAGACTTGAGTTCAAGAAAAACGACAAATTGAAAAGGTGTCATTTTCCACTGTGACAATGCAAGACTACATGTTGTAAAACAGACCTGGCAGAATCCTAGAGTTGAAATCAGGAAACCTTTCAGTACCTACCCTTTTTTTACCTGATTTGTCTCCTTTGCATTTTCATTTGTTCCAGTCTCTACAGAAAAATTTAAATGACAAAATATTTGACACTGTACAGTTGGTTGAAAAACTCACAACTTTCTTCCAACAAATAGGACAAAGTTTCTAGGAAAATGGCATCAACAATGGGAGACAGTTGTTAGAAACAATGCAGACAATGTACTTGATTAATAAATGTTTCTTTGTGACTATGTAAAATTTTTGTTTTGAATGTGTCTCAGTAGACATACATGCACATATATATATATATATATATATATATATATATATATATATAAATATATATATATATAAGAAAAGAACACTAAGATATATAATCTGGTGTTCTTATTGATATTTTTATTTTTACAAAATAGTGCTCAATGTAAATTTACAGAGCATTAATATTATAAATTAACTGATTTAAAATATGGTTTTTTCACTACACAGTAATAACCATGTTTCAAAAATGGAAGCTAAAGGCTTCAAATTTAATTTTGTAATTAAATTAAAAACATTAGTTCCATTTCATCCTCAAGCAAATTTTGGAGTAACTTATTTTTTAAATTTACAGAGTTTTAAAGGATATGAAAAATTCATAATTCACTGTTCCCAAGGATACAGAGAGATCCAATCATTCAGACAAGGGGTGGTAGCATGTTCATTTTTATTAACTTTTGTTGTATCAGTTATTAGTTATGTTTGAAGAAGGGGTTATGTTTAGTTAGGGGTAGGGATGTATTTTTCAATGAATTCTGATATCCATTAAATGCATGTCGTCTGGGTTTTTTTTTTAACAGCCAAAAATTCTTACAGAAATTTTTTATTTGTATACTTAAAGATTTTTGGGGGATGTTTAGGTTAGAATATGTTTTATTTAACTACAATTTTAAAATATTTTCACTTTTAATTTTTAATAGACTATATTTCTTTTAAAACAAGTAAATGTACTAGAATTACTTACAGTACATAAAATTATTTTCTCATATCAAGTATAAGTCAGTATATTACCAGGTCATATTTTTTTTTAAATTTCATTTTTAAATATTATTTAAGCAAAAATTTTTTGACAATGATGGCAAAAAATAGCTTATTCATTTCTCTGATCCAGTAAGATTTTATTTTTTATAAACTTAGTAATATATAGTTTCTCATGTATGTACAAAGGACATGGGTCATTTAATGACCTACATATTTTAGCATTTCTTATTAATTTCATTTTACTGTAGGTGTTTTATTAGATTCTTCTTAGTGCTAGAAGTACTTTGAGAGAGATGTTTAGGTTAGAATACATTTTATTTAACCACAATTTTAAAAGATGTTTATGTTAGAATTTGTTTTATTTAACTACAATTTTAAAATATTTTTACTCTTAATTTTATATATACATACACACACACATATATATATATATATATGAAGAAAAATATATATGGAAAAAACAAACAAAAATCCTTATATACAATTATGCTGTTTTAATGTTAATATGTCAACGTCGGACGTTTTGGTCTAATAAACCATCTTCAGGATATATTCATAAATTATAACATTATCAATACAACATGACAAAGACGATGTACATAAGAACAAGACTTATCCAAACAGATGACTGAAAGTTTTATAAGATCAGCGCTCCATTTAAAACATGGTCACGTTGTCGTCACATGGGCGACACTGTGAAAACATATTCCTAAAATTTGAGTATTTTGAATGAAAAATGAAAAGAATTCTATTTTGATCTAAAATTTATATGTACGCTTGTCGAGCATTAATCTCGCTAGAAATATATATATGCCAATTTCTTTTTGTAAACCATTAATGGCAATATCATATAGCTAATGGATTATTGATATTTTTAGTAAACTAAAACAGTATCTTTGACTCACTGCACCTACTTTTTACACGTCATTTTTTTTTGTAGGCTACTCAGTACAAAAATAAGAAGATGCCAATCCGAACAATTTCTGCTCAGACAGTGGCCAAAGTGCTCTATGAAAAAGCTGGACAACTAAAAGCCAAGGATCTCAGGGATGGTCAGTTTTGAAAATATATATATATATATATATATATATATATCATTCTAGATCATTTTGCAGTGTTATTTGGTGCTGGCCTTTGAAAAAAACAAAAAATTGTGGTTTTATTCTTTGTTAAATTATAAATTGTCTTTTGGAAATGGTCACCTGAGATTAAAATGGTTCTATCTGTAATTTTCACTCTTTATAGTTATGGCTCATGGCATCTTTTCTCTACAGCGTCTTAACCACTTAAGCTTTATACAAAAGTCTTCAATTAAGCACAAGAAAATTATATATAGTGTTTCTGTCAATTTATGAAAAATGTTATGGTTAGCTTAACTTTGAAGTCAAATATCTCAAAAACTGTAAAATTGCCGATAGAACCCTTTTAATTTTGGGTAAAAAAAGCCTACTACTGCTTTTAGAACTTTTGTATGTACCTAGTACATTGTTTTTAGTGATAATGTCATGTCAGGAAAATAAGTTTTCATGCCTGCACTATATGTTAAACAATGTTTTTCACATTTAATTCACATTTATATGATATTGCATGTAGAATCTGTTCACAGAGCTTAACTACACCAGAAAATGATTCATTTTCTATGGCTTATCAACCCTGTGCAGGTTATTTAAAGCCAGAATATATTTTTATGTTGTAAAATTTTATTTTTGAGATAATAATGTTTTTTGTGATACAGGTTTTACTAATTAACCCATAGCTTGGGGGAAGAGAGGTGGATAAGTGAATATAATGAACCCAATGGGAATTGGAACTCAGCTCTCTGATTAACAATTCCAAGTCATTATCCATGAAACCGCTCAAATATCCAAGCTTACGACACCTGATATTCCCAGTGTGGTCACCCATATACAGACTGATGAGGCTCAATGTTGTTTAACTTCAGTGATCATGCAGTAAACTGGTGTTTCAATGTTATGTGGCTGCAAGCCTACCAGAAAATGAATGTATCAGATATTTTATAAATATTATTATTTTATTACAACAAATTATACAGCACTTATTTTGATTAACCATGTTACTTAGAATGACTACTTCACTACTTATATAAATGTGAAAGCAATCTTAGTTGGCAATAATATAAGACAAATGGCTATAAATTTCATCATGTGGCAATAATTGTAATTAAAATAATGCACTAAAATAAATAACCAAGTAGGCATTTTAAGTCCCTGGAATATTGGTGCCATATCTAATCACATACCGAAGAAAGATTGCACATTGCATAACTAAAATATTATTTTGAATTGTTATGAAATCAATGAATTATAACATGAATGATGTTTTAGAATTTGTATCAAATTAATTTTGAATCATTTTCTTAGAAATGAAATTTTTCCACAAGAATAAACAGTGGAGTTGGAATAAGAAGAGGGAGGGGATGGAATATTTTTTTAAATTAATAAGCCAGTAGGGGTACGATTATTACAAATCCAAGGGTACTTATACTAATTTATTTATATTTATATACTGGATTTTGTTTTTATTTTCAAATATCAAAAAAAAAAAAAAAAAAAAAAAAAAAAATTATGCAGTACTTATTTTGATATAACTACATTACTTAGAATGATTACTTCACTACTTATGTAAATGTAAAATCAGTTGGCAATGAGATAATTGAAAGATGTCTATAAAAAGGCACTGTTGATTATTTACAGTTAATTTGTTTAGATAATGCACTGACTACTGTTTGCGTCATGTGGCAATAATTGTAAGTTAAATGATGCACTAAAATAAGTAAGCAGGTAATCATTTTAAGTTATTTTATATGCATATAAGTGTTCATAGTATTTTAGTATTTTTTAAAAATATTTTCCTTATTTTAAGAGTTATATTTTGGTTGTTTGCAATGTGATTATATGATTTTATATATGATGCCACTTATATGATATGCTTATATTTGAACTGAATTCAGATTTTAAAAAATGGCAGGATGTAACCAACAAAATATTGTCTATCACACAAACAAAACCCAGTTCTTGATAATGACTGATATGGTTGAAAGTACTTGAACAAAATAGAAGAAAAACATGACAATTTATACACTTCTGATTTGGATGTATAATAAATTATTTGAAAAATACAAAAAAAATAAGGCAGACTTTGATGAATTTAACAAAACTTGTTTAAATAAATTCATTACAGCCTTATATATATATATATATATATATATATATATATATATATATATATATATATATATATTCACCCACTGACCATGTAATTAAGTACAAATGAACAAATGCCCTTTTATGCAAATTTCTAATCAGCTAATGAGGTGGCATCAATATTTGTTTATTTGTTTGATTGATTTTGTTTAGTGACATATCAACCTCTATGGGTTATTTAATACCAAAATCTAAATATTTTGATTGGTTTGGTTTGGTTGATTATGTTTAGCATATCAACCTATCAACTGAAATCTAAATATTTTTGGTTTTTGGTTTAATTTGTTTAAATCAACCTCTATATTTTGATTGGTTTATTTTTGATTGGTTTGGTTGGTTGATTTTGTTTAGCGGCATGTCAACCTCTATGGGTTATTTAATACCAAAAGCTATATATTTTGATTGGTTTGGTTGGTTGAATTTGTTTAGTGGCATATCAACCTCTATGAGTTATTTAATGCCAAAAATCTAAATATTTTGAGCACAATTTTATGGCTTTCAACTAAATATACAGATATTTTATACATAATTTTATACTTTCTGAATAAACATGTTTTTTTTTTCAGATATAGTTTGTAGATTATAAAATGAATTATTGGTAATTTTACTATAAATATTTTTTTTTATATATTTTTTTAGTACTGCAATGATTTTCATTTTGCTATAAAAATGTATTGTTGCTTATTTTATTATAAAAATGTACTGTTGATTTTTGTTTGGGTGGTGGGGGTCACTATTTTCCCATATCTGGGATCCTAACAGGTGCTACCCCCACTCCAACTCAGGGTGGATGTGGGAACAATATCAGTTAATAGTTTCTCTCTCAATTGAGAAATGAAAAAGAGCAGTGGGAAAAGTACTCACAAGTTACTTGATGGAGCATACATTTGAGAAAGACTGAAATGTGTTCTAAGCAACAGAGATGAGGATATTGTGCATAATTTTGAGAAGAGTTATTGACATTAGACTGTTTGGAAAATAATGTCCAGTTTTAAAATAAATCTTTTTTTTTGTTCTATTATATTATTATAATAGTTGCATAAAAATATATTACTCATCTCTAATGGTTAATGTGGCCTCTTTTTTAATTTTATATCAATCCTTTTCAGAACTTAAAATGTTATATACTCTCCACTGGCGGGATGTGACGAGCCTCTTGCTGCTCTATCGCTATTTCCATGGAAAGTGCTTGGACAAACTACATTCTCTGGCCATGCCAATTCAAACCTTCACAGGAAGGACATGTCATGCCACTTACATAGTAACAAACCACCCACATTACTTTTGTATTCCATCAGTGAGAAATAAGTTTCAATCGAACAGCTTCTTCCCACAAACCACTGCTTTGTGGAACTGACCCCTAATAGGATGTTTCCCAATCACTACAATCTTAACCTGTTCAAGGCTAGAGTTAACCATTATCTTCCACTTCTATTCACACAAATTGCCTCCTAATTTAATCCTCTACCTTGAGCAACCCTCAAACTTTATAAAGGGTGAAGCTTACTGTAAAAAAAAAAGTTTCATCTTGAACATGAAAAAAGAATAGATGCGTTTATCTATTTTGTATGAGTTGCAAGCTTGGTCATAATGTTTCTCAAACTGCTGCCAACATTAACAGAGCATTGGGGTGAAGAATCCGCTTGTGATTAGAGAGTATGGCACTGGTTTCTGAAGTTTTGCAATGGGAATATGAGTCCTGAAGATGGTAGAGGGTGCCCATCTGCAATTGACAATCAACATCTGAAAACACTAGTTGAACAAAACCTATGTCAAAGTGTAAGAGAAATATTAGACCATTTCAAGAAAATTGGTTAAGGTGAAGAAACTCGATAAATGGTTTCCACAAACTTAGTCAAATCAAAGAGTTTGACATTTTGAAGTGTTCAATGCTGCATCTTTGAAATTCAAATGGTCCATTTCTTGACTATTTAGTGACTTGTGATGGGAAATGGATTCTTTATGACAATCATAAAGGATTGGCTCAATAGTCTGACCATGACAAAGGGCCCAAACATTTTCAAAAACAGAAATTGTACCAACAGAAGATTATGGTGACTATCTGGCGGTCCACCATTGGCATTATCCATTACAGCTTTTGGGAATCTAACCAGTGCATCATTGCCAAAGTTTACTGCCAGCAACTGAATGAAATGCAACTGAAACTGGTTAATCAATGAGGTCCAGTTATTCTCTTTCATGACAATGCTTAGCCTCATGTTGCCAGGATGACACTGCAGAAGCTTATTGACTTGGGATATGAGACTTTGCCACACCCACCATATTAACCTGATCTTTCACTCACTAACTACCACTTTTTCAAACATCTTGATAATTTTTTAAACCAAAAGACATTCAGTTGCAAAGAAGATGCAGGAACTGCATTCAAAGACTTTTTGGCATCCAAGAGTTTTATTATAAAGGCATAAATAAATTTGTAACTTAATGGAAGAAGCATAAAACAGGTTCAGGCCTCTTATTTTGACTGATTTAAATACTTTTTAAATACATTAAATCAGGAATAAAAATTGATAGTAAAATTAGACATTATTTTCTGAAAAACCTAATATTTTAAATTTTGTTCAGATATGAACTCATTTCAACATCATGGAAGAGTGTCCTTTCACACATATAACAATCTAGGTCTTCTTTAATGTGTTGGTAAGTTGTACGCAGTCCACACAAATGGTACTCAAAATTTTGGATTGATTGACGTGTTTTTTATGGCCTATCAACCTTTTGCAGGTTATTTAAAGCCAGAAAATATTTTAGATCGTAAGAATTTTCTTTTCGAGACAACAATGATTTATTGATACAAGTTGTACTAA